AAAAACAGCAGTTTCTATCCTTTTGAATATCATCTTTGTTATTCACAGCCAAACAACAAAGGAAGGCCTGAAATCTACTCTCTTCTTATCAACCATATGTACGCATTTGCAGGGACCTTTTATATATGCCATTATTTTTTTCCCCAAATGAAACACATTCTTAAAATATAGTTATATGTTTTCATGTTAATTGTGTATGAAAGGGTAGTTTAAATTGATATGAAACAACTAGGGGAGGACTGAGGGAGATGGAGGAATTGAAAAAGCCCCAGACCGGCGGAAAGTCCTCCAAAAAAAGGAAAAAATAGAAGAAACCTCAAGAAGAGGCACAGAGGAGGGATCCCTCTACCAGGACAGACACACATGCAACAGATGTCGAGTGTATTGAACAAACCAACAAAATCACATTATACACAATTTCTGATACATGAAGATTCTAAAACATATGAGAAGAAACTGAACAGAAAGCTGTGGCCAGACTCTTACATATGCAGATGGGAAAAAAGGGGAAAATATTAGACCTACGTTACCATCCTTTACTTTTACTGGCTCTACTTCCGGTATCGAATCCACTCTTTTGTGTATGAATCTCTGCATAGTCTCGCTCTGAGCTATATCACTGAACTCATATCCCCACACAGTACAGCTAGACCCTAAAGATTGAGAGCTGTTAGCCATCCCTCAATCCCGTCGAAAACATTTAAGAGACAGGGCCCTCTCAGGAGCTGCATTAATGCTCTGGAATAGTCTCCCTGAAAACATAAAAACAGCAATCCCTCTCCTCTTTTAAGCCTCAAGACCCACTTGCCTACTCCTGCAATGACTCCTGACATGATTTGCACTTTTGCTTTAACGGATGTAATGTGCGTATGTATGAGTATTTAACCATGTATTAAAGTACTTACCGCACTTTGGTTCAAACCCGGTTTGTTTTTGAAATCGCATACCACCAATTTCATAAATATAAATAATAAAGTAATTTTTTTATTTTTTATTTTGCCACTTCAATTTAATGGTCATATAACATTCAGCCTTGTCAAAAAAAAATAATTTTGGCTGAAAATGAAAATCTCTAAAAAGTCAAAATATGTTTTACCTACTGTATGCTTTCTTGAGATACTTTGTGAAAGCCAATCACTTGATGCTATGCCTCAGGAAATATATGCTTCTGCCTTTAGTCATCTGCAATGCCCTTCCTGGAGTTGAACTTGGATGTTTGATTTGAGAATAAAATATGGAAATCTATGCCTGTGTTCATCGTAATATTCAGAGCGCAGGATCTGACTTAATGTTTCTGACCGTGGCCTCGTTTCCCAATAATGATTTCTCTTAGATGTGAAGTGTTCCTATAAAAGATAGGTGTGTTCCTATGAGAGTTCATTTATTACGTATTTTTGAAAGCAGCAGATTGAGGATTTTTTGGTGTAGCTGTCTCTCCTTCAATATTGCCATACCATAGAAATATGCTAATTTTGGTGTCATATTAAAGCATCTAAACTAATCGGAAAAGCACAATATTAGGTCCAAACTGAAATTTCTTTACAACATTAAGCAATAAGATGTCACTGAGAAGAAACTATTTATGTTAGCATATATATTTCACATATATGAACAATTAGTAATCATTGCATTGTGCTGCTGTTGTCCCCTTTAAAAATGGGCACTGCAAATGATTCTTGAAAGATCTCTCATAGTATCTAAATTATACATACTAACGCATTACTTAAAGCTTAAGTAGAGTCAACTGTTACTTGAAGCACACAGTGTGTGTTTAATGTGACCGGAGGCTCATTGTCAGTGATTTTGCTGCTGCATGAGTTACTTGCCCTTAAGCAAAAAACTAACCTCAGATTTGCAAAAGTTGATTGTTATTATATGCTCCCTAAACAACGGAGCAGTTAAACTCAACATTTTAAAATCATCTCACCTATCCGAAATACCACAGGATCTCAGTGCCTAATTCAAAATATGTTACATTTCAAATGCATTTCAGTCTGCTTTTACCACCACATGCTGCCACTCTAGTGTTGACTTAATGACAACATTTCAGCTCCTGACAAAAACAACATGTGGCTCTATTTGTAGGCTTAAGCAAAGCATTTGATTCTGGATCATACTTTCTTCTTCATATATTTATTCAATTTTTCTTGATGACTCAGCTGTTTCGATCTATTTTAAAAGTTCCTAACTGGCCAGCTGACTTCCAAAGAATAAAAAGGTACCTCTGGGAGGATTCTTTCATTCAGTCAGGCAACCATAATTCAATTGTATATGACTATGTTAATATTTATAGGCAAGCCACACCATCTATACTGCAGTCATTAGATGTTTTATATCACAGGACTCTTAGATTTATAACCAGTGACAGCTAAGCAAACCATCATTGTGACTTAAACAGGAGAAAACACACTACTTCACTTGGTTTAAAGATCGTCTTGTTTTGCAGGTTCACAATTTAAAAGCTGTGCTTTAGAAAAGCTCCATTCAAATGGAAAAAAAAAACTGCAGCAGGATCAAAATTGGATCACTTAGGTTTATTGTGAAGTATTTATCGAATCCTCCATCTATTATAAGTACCTGCAATTTTGACTCTTTTCTTCTCGCTAGTTCATTGCCAAAAAAAAACTAATAAATATATATTATATTTAGGAGGAAAATACATTCTGTAATATTGAATGGTATTGTGCAGGGGGCTGCCACCCATTGTGGCATCCTGAATGCAAACAAGAGGCATTCAAGAAGTTAAACACAAACCAAGACAAACAGCAGCAATAATGTCAAATTGCTGTCTATTTGGGACGGAACTCTTGTCCTTGTGTTAAGTGGCCAAAAATGGATGCTTTCACTATGTTTTAGTCATCACAGTAAAACAGAGGTAGGAAGTACAAATACTAAGTTAATGTACTTAAGTCTTTTTTTTCAGGTATTTGTAGTTTACTTGAGTATTTCACTTTACAACCCACATTTTTAAACAAAGATCTGCACGGTCTAAAAACAACAAAAACCATGTGAGAGACAAGAGAGGGACACTCAACCATCCTTATAGTTTCAGTTAGCTTTGTACAGAAACCGCCTGTAGAAATGTCTTTCAGAGAAGTTTATTTTTATACTTATATTGCAGAGCCAGTGCTTTTACTTGAGTAAAGAAGATTAATCAGTACTTCTAATTTAAAGTTATTCTTTTGGCCTTTATGCCTTTATTTGGCATGACTTTATTTGCCTTTTATTGAGACAGCTGAAGACAGACAGGAAAGGTGGGTAGAGAGAAAGGGGATGACACGCAGGAAAGGGCCACAGATCGGATTCGAACCCGAGCCCTCTACTTGTTGTTTTTGAATGTATGTTTGAGAATGGGTGCTTCAAGCTAAATAATGTGTGTACTTTTGCAAAGCTCTGCAGTAAAATAATGCCCAGGAAACAAACACAACACTCCAACAGGTCTTCACTCTATTATGAGACTTTTTGAGGCATACTGTCAATTCAGCTCCTTTTTTTATCTTAAGAAATCATTAAAGCAAACAATAATGCAAGGACTTCCATTTTCAGTTAGTATAACCGTCAGAGCATTGCTGATAGTTACATCCACACACTATCTGTGTCGTTTTGGTGCTTGATAGAAATATTAATAATGGTAATCATTCACTTACATATACACCTATACACACATCATCATCACCATCACCACCAACAAGTCAACAACAACAGCAAGTTAAATGTTATTGCTGTGTTTCCATTAGCCTGGTCATGAGTTCTGTGAATGATATGTACTCTGGGACAGCAGAGTAAAGTATCTTCTCTATCGATTAGTCCTTGGCCATTGTGTATTAGCCGACAGCAGCTGTCAGATGAAAAAATATGCTAAACTGTGGCCACTGAACTTTTTGTTCAAGCAAGAGCAAGGCAGCAGGAGTCTGACTGTGTGAAAAATGTATATGGCTACAAGTTAATGGAGTTTGGTAGAAATTCAGCCGCAGCCTCTGATGGAAATGTCCCTGTTTCTTATCGTAGTCTGACACAGGGGCTGATCTAGAGTTTGGTGTCAAATGCTATCAAATTCAACACATTAATTTAGATTGATTTTAAAAAACTTACGTGTTAAAAACAAAAATTAATGCATATAATTTAGTGATCTGTTATGGAAAACATTTAGACTAAGTGATCAGCTGAAGTTCAATGAAAAAGAGACAGAAAAGACAGAAAAATGTCGTAAGGTTTCCAAAAAATATATTGATTTCTAATGTCACCTTTAGGTTTTTCCATTTTAATGCTTTACTCTGAGTTTTACCCTTAGGTTTGAGCTAACATGTTCAGTGTTGGCCCTTAGTGGGTTTGCATCTTATCATGGTGTCCAAGAGATATAAGCTCAACTGAAAGTTGTAAGTAAGTAAGTAAAAGTTCATTTAAATAACATGATTATAAGCTTGCCAGAATGGTGGGATATGAAAGGAAAAGGAATGCTTCCTATATTTGAAATGTATTTCATATCTGTAAAATAGTCAATGCAAATCAACTTTGTGAACACTAGATCAATAAAATAAGAAAATATTCAGTGAAGGCAAATCACTTTCCATTTGATTGCATAACAGTGGTTAGGAATTACTTCAGGGACCCATCTCATGCTTGTCTGTGAGTTGATGTGAAATCATAATCACAGAACCATCACTCCTCTTCTCTTTTCACATTCTTATATTTCTCCACTTAGCTACAGTCACTATTTACCCATGAATTATCCATAGATCTGCATAACATATTAGGGAGCACACCATATTCCTCTCTGTTTTGGGATAAATAAGAACAGAGTGAAAAAAAATAGCATAAAAATCTAATTTTCAAAAGCTTTAAATTATGCACAAATTGAATTGATCGTCCTGTACGTTGGGAGATGTTCTCTCCGAGGTGAGAACTTAGATTTTTTTTTCTTGTTATGTCCAATGTGAGACTTGGATGCTGTTGGGAAATCAAGCCCACCTGAGTCTATGATACGACCATGTGTTTCTTACCTTGCCAATGATCCTGGGGAAGGGAGCTCTCTGGTTCTCAGTTATGATCATAGGAGGGACCAGCAGGGATCTCTTAGATCTGTATGGCAGCGTCTGGCCAAGACCCAGGATATCCTAAAACACAAAGAAGAGAAACCATATTGTTAAACTTTGAAATAACAGTACCCCATGTAGTGACGCACTTTGTCATTCTTACACCAGCCCATCCTCGCCCAAAATTACTTGTTAGCATCTTGTTATCAATTAACATAAATCCCACCGATGACGCATAAACTCACACATGGCAAGCAGTCAACGATGCATTTTGAAATGTTGAGATGAATGTTTAAACAAACTACTCTTGAACTGATTCCCAATTTTGATGGCAGAGTGCTATGTACTGTATAAGTGGGAATGCAAAGAGGCTGAGCACCTGCATCTGGCAGGCAGCATATGTATGTGCTTTACACATTTGGAAAGAAGAAGAGAAGAGAGGAGAGGATATTCTCTAGGCAAATATGAAATAGCTGCTGCTTGCCCTGCAATTTAATTTATATTTTGTAATTCTTTATTCAGCTTGAATGTTAAATAAGTACAGGAGCGAGAAATAGATAAAAACTAATAATTTAAGCAAGGGCAACATAGATACAGAGACATGGTGAAGATGAAGAAATGAGAGATGACAAGGTTTAGGTGAAGCAATTGCATTGTTCATGCACATGAAGCCAATCTGAAATGTTATTTTTGCTCTTGAGAACACAATAGCTTCATCTTATTTCATCTCCCACCCTCCTGTAAACAAAGATGTGGTTGTTACTGTGCAATATAGAGAGAGATTCCCCCCCCCCTCTCTTCTCCAGCTTGATTTCACTGATACAGTTATGGCCGCTCTGCTCTGGATGTTGACGAAAATGATGTCTGTCACTGACACTATGAACAGGAAGCTGGAATCCTGGCTGCAACCTAGAGGTGATGACCTACAGGGGAGGAAAGTCTGCTGACTGTCTGCACACCTGGACCCCAGCCAAGGACAGACGACAAATACACACACCCATACACACACCACTGCCATACCCATACAAATATGTGTTTTATTAGACATACGTATTATGTTATAATTATTAAGGAAACAGAAACATTATATTGGACTATACACATATCTGTGTGATATAGGGATAAGCTATTCGTGCTGAAAGGTTCAAACTATTTCATATAATCCATTTAAATCTAAATTTAGCATACATTTAAATACACTATCTTTATTCCTTGCCCTCAGACTGGCTGTGTTTATGTCTTTAAAGAATAACTGAGAAACGATTAGCTTCCCAAGCAGCGTGGCACTGTTCAGTGATGCATCCTGATCTCCCAAAATAATCATAAGTCGGCTCAGAGGGAAAGCGATGACCTGCATAGAGAGCTAATCTACGACCTGTTTCCAAAAGGTAACCCAAGGACAATACTAGAATTGTGTCTATGAGATTCACTTTTTTGGCACCAAAGCTACACAGATCTGCCAGCTTCCATAGATAAAGCCCAGTTTTCTTGGCTACAGTGTTTCACAGATGGCAGTAATACGTAGAAAGTGGTACAAGCTAATGATAATGAGGAACTTCCACATCATAAAGACTACAACAGGTAATTCAAGTCATATAACATTCGGCCTCTTATTTGCTAAAAACATGTTAACGCAGTTAAAAGTAAGAATTACCTGCAGTGGGAGACGCTAGGTCGTAAAATATGCATCATCAGCGATAAGCCCCTGTTGCATTTCTTCTATTGCTTGTAGTGCGATTGAAGCAGCAGTTAATAGTCAGTCGCTTATATTGTGTCTCTGCTTTATAGTCTGAGCAGAGAACTCCTCATTAATAGCACAAGGCTTCTTTTAGAGCATCCACCCCTCAACCTAAATCAAGAGCATACATAGCATACATTTGGCGTGTCTTGGGCGAAGTAAAAGTCCCATTCATTTGACACATGGCAACATATCTATGAATATTATATTCCATTTATGCCAATAGATCCACCTAAATGTTACACACTGGACCTGTGACAACGACTAAGGTGGATTTTCGGCAAAGAACTTCCGACCGTCATTTTAGTCTGTTCAGATGCCAGTGGGGCCCTCACTGTTCATTAACACTGCTAACAACACAAGGGGACTCTGTACACTCTGGCGAGCGACAGTTTCCTGAGTGAATTTATTTATTTTGCCTCTTTTTCCTACCGGCACTCAGCCTGCCAGCTGCTGTCAATCAAACACAGGCTCTGACACGCCCCTCAAGAGCTTTTAGACTATATTCATAGAAAAACATTCTTCCATGATAATACAAAATCTGAGAATAACAATTAGAAACCACTTTTGACATTATTTTTTACATCAAAAACGAGATGACTAAATGTTATTTTGGTTGAACAATAAACCCTCTTAACACTAATCTGATCTGCCCCATGCAACCACAGTCCTGACTGTCCACACAATGGCAGTGACTGCTTAAATGTTGAGCAAAATGACAGAACAATGACAGTGAAAGAAACAACACAGCAACAGTCCCAGTCACTGAGCCATGGTTAAAATGACAATACAGTTTCAATATGAAAAGGAAAATACCGGGCTGAGGTTTTTGTGTTATCATTTGCAATGCAAATAGTCTCTTTTGTCCTTCATCTTTTATAGCCTACTTTACAACACTTTAGTGACAATGTGTGCTGCACACAGATGTGGCTGTGTGTGTGTGTGTGTGTGTGTGTGTGTGTGTGTGCTGTTTGTGTGTTTACTGTTCACACTGCTGTTCTTGGCTGACAGGGACTCTGGCATCACTCTCACCCCTGTCAGAATGACGGAAAGAGAACAGGTAAGAGGGAAAAACTGAGCCATTTGTTTACAGCGCAGTCCCGACACCCAGCCAGAGAGGGCAACGCCAAACACTCACAGCACTAACTGCCTCTCTCCCCCGCCCCCTTTCGAGCTACAAAGGTCAGAGAGAACACAATGAAACAGTAATCATAAACACAACCCGACCAGAACAAACCAAAGACACACTGAGCAGTCTCTGAAATGGCCACTCTTATCGAACCCACTGGGGGATGACCTTCCAAATGTCAAAGACAGAAATCTAAAACTGGACCTGAAGCGGTTAAACAGAACACTGAGCAAAAAAAACACTGTGAGAGATTTTATGACCTATTTTGAGTCTTAAGAGCACAGCCAGTGGTGTGTGTGTGTGTGTGTGTGTGTGTGTATGTGACCAGTTCACAGGCCGGTTGATGGACTTTTAAGAGCTGCCTGTAAAAATCCGGCCTGAGTCTGAAGCCCAGGGACGAGCGCAACAATCCCATCATGCACAGGTCTCAGCTGAGTGGTATTTGTAAAGGAGAGGAAGAAGAGCTGGGAGGCAAACAGGCACCATGAGGTAATTTTAGTGTGGAGGGTAGTAACAGGAGTTAGGGCTAAGACAGACCATGCTGTCAAATCCACGTCTTCACTGAGCTGAGATGTGCTTTAAAAACCTGCGTTCTGCAGGTGGATCAGGACGCGCTTACAAAAGCGTTCAGCTGGATACAGATGTTGGTCCTGCTCTTCGAAGATGGCTCACCACAGGGTATTATGGGAAAGACTTGCAGCCCTACTTTCGTCCGTCTCACCTTTTTACCTTCCACTTTGCAGCTCTCCCTCATTCCTTCCTCTCACTTAGCAACAGCTTTTCTTCACACTTTCTCTCTTTGCAGTCTGCATGTGTGATGAATAGTGTTCGTACAGCTCGGTGACATCGTAAGAGAAGGAAGCCATGAATCTTTAATGTGTCCTGTTCATAAATTACTGCTGCACCATCAACCCTGATCCAGCCTTAATACATTAGCTTGTCTCTCTCTGTCTCTGTCTCTCAAATGATCATTAGGGCATCTCAGTGCACTGAGTTGCAAGTGTCATAAAAAGAAAAAAAAAAGTCTGTTAAGAAGATTTGAATATTAATCAGAGTCAGATATGCCTATATGTTTACATGCATATTGTACTATATTATGTGTGTATGGTTGTGTGTGTGTGTGTGTGTCCCTGCGTGTGAGGGAGAGAAAGATGGAGCCTTTGTCATTGTCATCTGAGCGCAGAGTTACTGTGGCAGTAAAGTCACGTCCTTGTCTATTCTGCCTTTTTTACTCTCAATGCTATATTGAGAAGTGTCATTATTCATTTGTGACAATGTGTTGGAGACCTGGTGAGAAATGGATCATATCAAGGCCAACATCGGCCAGTGGTGACAGGGATGTACAGCTATTCTATGTGGGATAAACTCTTGGATATGCAGTCAGGTCAGGCAATCAGTCTGTTCTCCTAATACCGAGTTAAGCTCACTTATGTTAGTGTCAGCCGTGTGTATATGTATGAAACAATGCATTCAAACATCGCCTTATAACACGTCCCTCGAGGTGGCTGTTGACAGCACAATGTTTCACACTTTGTTAAAATATAATCAATGAAGCATAAACACGTTTTGTCTTAGTCATGCGGAATATAGCGAGATGCTGATGACTAATGCTTATTTCAAGTATTCAATTATCTGAATTAATTAATACTGTGCCAAAGTGATTATGTGTGTGTAAAATCTCACCTGCAGATAGTGGTATGGGCCATGTTCTGACAGAACTAATGCTTTTTTTTTTTTTTTTTTTTTTTAATCGATAGTGACAGCTGAAGAGTGACAGGAAAGGGGGAGAGAGAGAGGGGATGACACGCAGGTCGGATGCAGCAAGGACTCAGCCTTTGTATACGGGACATCAGCTCTGCCAGGTGTTCTCTAATTTGTCTTCATACTATATGGTTCATGTGTTAGAGCACGTTAAAGGACTGCACGCAATGTCATTCTGCAAATTACATGTTGTGTTTAAATGCACTTCAGCACCGTCTCTGAATCTTCACCTCCAGCAGAAGAAACCCCCAGCATTGTGGAGGGACATTTAATCTGTATTTATAAACCTTACTCATTCCTCGCCCCTCAGGAATAATATATTAGCTGTTTTAAATATAAAGAAACGTTTCCTATTTCCTCTTCTTGAAACCCACTTCTAAAATAATGTCTTTGTTATCCTCTGCTGACCTGAAAAAGTCAAACATGTGATGATCCATGTTTCCCTTGACTTCT